AATACAGCCGACCAGAGGCTGCTGCCAAGGTGGTCTAATTTAACAGCCGACATCCTCTTACAGGAACATTATAGCAGCAAACTATCACCTGTGAACAGAGGTGATCACATGATCATGAGGAGACCCGGGGCCAAAAAAGAGAGAAAGAGTTCGGCTGAATTATGGTCCCATTTAGAGGAACAGAGACCAGGAAGCTTTAGGGCGGGGCTACAAACTGATTGACAAGTCGTTACCATGGCGACATGTCAATCAGGATACAGACGACTCGTATCCGCTGCTCTGTGCACATTCGGCCGGTCATTTTTAAATAAGTGCGTTTTGTTTTAAGCTTGTTTATCGCAAAAAAAAAAAAAAAAAAAAAAAAATCACAGTTAACGTGAATTACAGATGCACCTCGCTAACCAAGCTAGCTCGCCCAAATATGGTCACTTCTGGTTACAAAAAAACAAGATGGCGACGACCAAAAATGCCAAACTTGAGGCTTCATGACGGTCGGTGTGACGTCACGTCGGCAGACTGAGTGACAGCTGGATGTTCACGCCTGCTGAGAGTCTGAACAACAAACTGTCAGCACCAAACCTGCAGCAACAAAACATGGAAGGAAACGCACTCAGCGTCTGACTAATGATGTCATCACCGGCTGCCTTGCAACGCCACAAACACACACGACTCTGTGTCAGCATGCGACACTCTTTTTTAACCTCAATATTAATTCTATTTTAATTCTATTTTCTTGCTTAAGCTTCTAAAATGTGAAAGTTTTGCTTCTGGAAATGACGCCACAGATACTAGAGGGTGGATCAGTGTTTCCTGAAGCCTGAGAGGACGTCCTCAAACGTCTTGTTTTGTCCACAACCCAAAGAGATTCAGTTTGCTGCCACAGAGATTCAGTTTGCTGCCACAGAGGAGGAAAGTAACCAGAAAATATTCACATTTCAGAAGCTGGAAAATTAGAACAACAAATTAGTTTAAACAAAGGCTCAAACTAATTAATCGATTATCCAAATAGATGCTCAATAATTTAATAGTTGCCAACTAATTGATTAGTGGATTTCAGAGCTCGGCGCTCTGCAGGTAGACGACCCCGCAGAGCCAACGCCAACTGTCCCGCGTTCTTGTACCAAAACAAACATGGACGGCAGCCAGCTGTGGGCGTCTCTGCTTCACTGCAGCAGGGGCCCGGCCTTCATGCAGTGAGGAGCCGCACAGTTCATGACATGACATCTTCCTTTTCTGGACTTGTTGCCACATGAAGGTAATAACGGTGAAATGCGCTCGTTTCCACAGAAGAAGAAAGAGCAGGATGACGGTCGCTGCTGTCAGTCAGTCTGGTTTGTTGAACCCCGAAGGCGGCGCAGGGGGGGGGGGGGGGAGAGAGAGAGAGAGAGAGAGAGAGAGAGAGAGAGAGAGAGAGAGAGAGAGAGAGAGAGAGAACGCTCACAAAGTGAATTACAACACAGAGGACCGAGGGAGGCTGGGAAATCCCCTCTGGAGCAGGAAGGGCGGAGTCATGCCAGGCAATGTGGGGGGGGGGTTGTCAGCATGAACTCTGGGAAAGTTGAGAGTTTCCCAGGAAAGGTGAATTAGATGAACTGAAGTTACATCAACTGCAGGACAGATTTCCTTCCAGCGTCCTGACCGACCCCGTTAGATCTTAGTGACTCTGATCTTTCCACCATCAGGACACCAGGACAGACTTTGCGTGTGCAGCTGCTGAGGCGCACTCATCAGGACGGTTTAACATGATAATAAGCAGAGTTATTGTGAACAAAGCTGTAAGCTGCAGGTCTGAACTCGCTCTGAGCTGCGGCTGGTTTCTGAGTCAGAGTGTGAAATACTCCGAGGGACAAATCAAACTGTTTAGCCTGTATGTGTTCACATTTAGTCAAACTGGCCCCATTAACAGCAGCTGCATCAGCCGTTAGCCGTTAGCATGGATGTACAGAGGGCTATCACTGGACCACTGAAGGAAACGTGAAAACATGAAGACTCTCAGGCAGGTTCTGCAGCGTCTGTGTCTAAGCCCAGTGGATGGTGATGACACGGAGTTTAAAATTACACTGAATAATAAAAAACACTGCACGAGCCGTGTGCTGCAGCTGTGGAGCAGCAAATCTACTAACTAACTAAATAACTAACTTCCTGGTGTGGTTACAGCACCTGCATGCACCTGCCCCCCCCACCCAAAGCTGAAAACAGCCAAGGGGGTACCGTGACATCTGTGAATTTCCCAAAACCAAGACCAGACCTGCATCAGGATCAGTCGATTGAGCCACAGAAGACATTTATCTAAGTTTTTGCAGCTGACGTGGGGAAATGGTCGTCAAGCTACTTGGATCAATGTGGACGATATTCAGGTGACGGTTAATCTTAGAGCTGAAACGACCAATTTAGTACTTGATCGTTTGCATTTGACAATTTTTGTCAGATATAATATTTTCTGCCAATGTTCACAAACTAGAGGAATAGAAAGACGTGGATGCACCTGGTTGGTGACACGGCGACTGCACTGCAGCTAACGCTAACTCAGGATGGGCTAGTCAGCGCTAATCAGTCCTGATATCTCTCCGTGCTCCATTTTGTTCTCAGGACTGTTAATTAATATTCACTAAAAAAGGAACTAAATGAAGAGGGAAAATAAAGTTAGCGAGCTTAATGGTCGGCCAGCACAACGTTAGCTTAGCTCAGTTGCTAATGTGCTGCTAAGCGTCTACAGTGTGTTAAAGCTGCTTCAGCTGCTTCTTCACCGATATCAGACATGAAAACTTGTGTGTTCACCCTATAAAATATTAAAACACTTGACAGGAGGTTACGCGTTTAAGGACTAAAAAAAAGTAACTTAATTTGCATATTTATTTATTTATAGTAGAGAACTCAAATTGTGGATCACTTTGTTTGTAGGCTTCTTTCAATCAGAGAAACTGAAAAATATCTGCCTTTAAGCGAGGCGGGGGTCTGACAAGGGTCAACTTTTGGACTTTGTCTTCTGACATTCTGGTTAATCAGTCCTCAGTCTCATTAACATGCAGGAAGAAATGTATTCCAGTTGAAAGGGATTGATCGCTCTGTTTCACGTCCTGTCAAAAAGATTTATTCTTACAGCGTTTTTAAAAAAAAACAACTGAAGCCTCTGAGGCTGTAACTTGGACCTCTGCTGTGAACAGGAACACCACAGGCTGAAAATAAAAACCCTGGAACCCGACTGGAGGTTTGGTCTGCTGGGGTCAAAAACAGCAGCAAGGAAACAGAGAGAAACTGCGGTTACCACACCGCCACAGAGAGGAGAGCTGACCTGAGGTCTGTTCATTCTGACCACAGATCAGGCTGGACCTGTTTAACAGGATCAACATGTACTACAAGCCCAAATTAGCTACCATGTCTTTATTTTGAAATTCAGGCTGCACGCATCCTGACAGCGTGGCAACACCACCAGCTGCAGGTCACAGTCCAGGAGCCAATCATCAATAAGCTTAAACGTGTCAGGAATGTGGATCCAGGAGGGCAAACACTGAGGGGCCAGCCTCCAACCGAGCAGTAAAATAATTAGCACGACTGCAGCTACAGTGCGTAAGATTCATTTAACAAATGATCCAACATGAAGTAGTAACAGCCGCACGCTGCAGTACCACTTTGTACCTGCACAGGTGACCGTCCGACAGCTCACCTGCCCTGTAGCTTCAGCTGAGATGTTTGTGAGCGGCGAGTTTGCTGCGTTACACAAACTCTGAGTTTTTTAGTCTCATAAAATGTCAATAAAAAGGAGAAATTCTTACACATGTTCACCTTCCTAAAGAGAAAAACGGCATTCAGGTTTCTTGTTCATGAGCTAATCGCCTCGTTAACTCATCGTAAAACACAGAAACTAAATACAACTCCCCAAAACCATCTTTTTCCAGTCTTTCTATGGTTCCAACAGTCACCAGCTCTGGTTTGGTGGAAATAAACTCTTGATAGAGCGAGTTAGAGCTCTCTGATGGCCGGCCTCCCTCTGCTCAGACCTTAACTCAGGGTTAACTCGGACGGCCGCTGCTGTTAAACGCCACTCCTCCTACTATTCTCTGACATTACAGTCAGACATTTATGAGAGAAAGTTTTTTTTTTTCCCCTGTCAAAGAACCACGTCGCTTCATTTTGCACAGCTGCAACGTCACACCACAGACGCTGCTGCTGTGTATGAAGCCTGCAGTGGAAAATTAGATTCCACTTCTAAAATCAGATTTAACAGTGAGGAAACACTCGTGATTTCCGCCCACATCACCAGATCATCATACACACTGGGACTTCAGAGACTTCGCTGTGAATCGGGTGAATTTACAAGAAGTTTAGATTTTTTGTGACTTTAATTTCAGGGAATTGCTGAGTTTTGTTCTTCACTTTCATCTCAGATTATTCATAAAAACAGCTTGCAAATGTTTTACGAGGAAGGAAATACGCTCAGATCAGAGCTCAGCGACCTCAGTAATGATGTGCTATTACTGACAGTGATTCTGTTTGTTACAACTCAGTCCACAGCTTCTGTTCATCTCCTACAGGGGTCAGTGTCCAGGAAACCACAACTCCCAGACTGCATTTCACCTACATGGCAGACAAAGACAGAGCAGGAGGCCTTCTGTCTCGAGATCTGCAGGGTCAACTTTACAAGGCTCGCTGCAGGTCCGCTGGAACTCTGCTAGCACTTCATAGGCTAAAGCTGTGGTTCCCAAAGGGCCCTCTCGCTAAAGCTGAGGGGCCGCAAGATCAAAAACTACTCTGTTACAGAAAAAAAGGTGACTTTCTCCCATGGTTTGCCTTTTTTTCTTGCAAATTACAGCAAATTTTCACCTCTAAAAGATATCGTTTGGACGTCGCCTCATTTTCAGGCGTCTGAAGAGAAACACCGTGACGGCTTCTGGGTCAGACGGAGCCGATTCACACCTGCAGTGATCGCAACACGTTCTGCTGGCTTTGTTCTGCGTGCGCTGAATAAAAAGGCAGACTGAGAGTTTGAGCAGCAGAGTCAGAGAGAGGAAATCCTCTCAGCTGACTGAGGAACACGTCACTGTGGTGAAGCTTCTCCTGACCGCGAGTTTCCCCTGAGTCATCACTCCTCTGCTGCAGGAGAGGACGGAGGGAGCCGTGGAAAGAAAGAGTAAGAGGACAGGGAGGAGGTAATTACCCAGGACGGAGTGCACTCGGACCGAGAGCTGAGTCCTCAGGATCAGGAGGGGCTTCTTCCCTTTTCTGTGGAAGCAGAGAGAGAGTTAGAGCTGTTCAGACAAACATTTATTTATTTCTCTTCACAGTGACACCGGAAGCTGAGCGGTACAACAGTCACTGAACCCTCTGGACTTCCTGCTGGACTCCAACATCAGACAAACCCTGTCGCTGCATCTGAAGGCCGATTGTTTGGTCTCAGTATGATGATGATTTATTACACAGTTAACAGAGATAACATTTTTGTTTGAATCCTGCCACAACAGATCCACGCAGTGCTTTAAAACAATAAACAGAATATTACAGGAAACAGTGTGGCGGGGAACGGGAGGGGCGGGGTGCGACCTCCGGGCTGAAACATGAGGCCTATCAGGAAGTTCCAAAAACTGCAGATCCTTGAACAGAGTCTGGCTCCAATCCCGAGCCAGTCCCCCCCCAAACCCTGTGTTCAGATGCCCGACCTAACAGCAGAAATAACCATCTTTACAGTCCGGGACAAAACACGCTCTCATCTCTGCAGCTAAATGCATGACCGTGACATGTGGGCGCCCTCTCAGGTGGCGTGCTGGTAGGTAGTTCGGCAGCCAGGCTTCATTCGGCCTCAGCGGCCCTGGATTAGCCAGTCACCCTAACCCTAACCCGGGGCCACGGGAGCAGGAACCCTCACTTCCTGTGGCTGAGACAGAACGCACCATTTAATGTTGGAAAACTTCCCTGGGGGGTGAATACCTGAGAGGGAGAACAGGGGTGAGGTAGTGACTGTCCTCTCAGCTGCTTCACAGTGTAATTAGTGAGCAGGGTGATTACGAGTGGATTCTGCTGCTTGTGTTAGAATGTCTGATACATCAATGACAGGACGTCCACTTCCTGTGGCCGTCCACTTCCTGTGGCCGTCCACTTCCTGTGGCCGTCCACTTCCTGTGGCCGACCCCTCCCACCCCCAACACAAACTGTTTCAGACGCTCCCCTGCGGTCAACTACTATTTTAATGCACATGAAAATACTTTTAAATATTCTGTCAACTTCAGATTTTTAGAAAACTTTATAGGTTTGCGTTTGTCACCGTTGTGCAGCTAGTCGCCAAAACAAATCTCGTGTACGTGTAAAAACAACTTCGATCAGATTCAGATGCGAGACGGTTACTGTGGCAGCGTGTTAGCAGCTTTGACAGACCGATCTGAAGAATCATCTCTGACTCACCGCTGACTAAAACCAAGCGGGAAGCTTCCGGTCTGAGACGCGAAGCCAACGCGGAAGCTCCTTAAAGCTGCGTCCTCTCCAGCAGCCAGCAGGGGGCGACTCCACCGGCTGCAGAAAGAAATGTTTCTACTTCTCTGCTGATTTATTCCCTCAGTAAACACTTTCCTGATGAGTTTATGGTCTCAGTCGCTAGTTTCAAGTCTTCTTCAACACAGCATGATGTTCATTTAGTAAATTATGGTCCTGTTTAGAGGAACAGAGACCAGGAAGCAGGGGGGGCTTTAGGCCGGGGCTACTGTGTACATTTAACCAGCGCCACTGAAAAAGCTTATCAGGAGTCGGCTGTTCACTTTCTCTGGTGAGCACATAGATAAAATGATCAGCTCTATTAAAATGACAGTTAACGTAAATTACAGATACGCCTAGCTAAGCAAGCTAGCTAGCTAGCTCCACACACGGCCGTTAGCTGGGTTTTTAGTAGATAGAGTGAGGGCTGAATAGTCGACGATGATGATAAGAGTTTCACAGCGACCTCACAACATCTCTGCAGCATGGACGCACATATCCGAGTTTCCTGTTAGAAGGACTCAACGTTCTCTTCAGGGAGAGACGAGTGTAGCTGCTCTGAGCTGATCCCAGAACAGCTCAGCTTCCATATAAACCTACAGACTGTGGCCTGCTGGGATCAGAGTACGGAAAGAACGACAGCACGGAGGTATGGAAAGAATGAGAGACAGACAGGAGGAGGGGTATAAAGAGAAAGTAAGGGAAACCAGAGTTTGTTTGTTTGTTTAAGGCTAAAAAAAGAACAATTATGAGATTTGTTTTTAGGCTTTGTGGCGCGCACACACACACACACACACACACACACACACACTGATGTGCATGAGTCCTTCTGCAGCAGCATGATCGTCTAACAAGCTGCATTCAAGCCAAATGTAGGTTTGAATGTGCTGCATGGATCTGGATGTGGAGAGGACTGACTGGAGAGTCCAGGGCAGGACAGACAGACGGACCAATCACGTCCTCTCACACAGACCTGCATCCATGTTTTGTCCATCTTTCCCACTGATGCCTCTCTGTGAGCAGGCTTTAGTCAGAGCAGCTCAGCCTGAAGTCCACATCCCAGAGGAGTCCTGTTCTCCAGATGCAAATATAGCAGAGAGCGAGCGAGAACCATTTCTGCCATAATCTGAATAAACGCGCTGCTTCAGTTTCAGACGAGCAGGACAGGAGGTTGCTCTGAAGCTTCTTGGGATCTGATTTATTGCCAAGTTGTTTTTATTCGCACGGAGGAATTTGTTTTGGCGACCAGCTGCTCAACAACAGCAAAAATAAACCTACAAAGACTTCTAAAAGAATGAAGTTGACAGAATATACACAAGTATTTACATGTGCAATAACAGAATCAGGTCTGAACAGGTGTCAGTGGGGGGTCCCGGTCTTGTTGAAGAGGCTGCAGACAGGAAGAACTGTTCCCGGGGCATGAGCCTTCTGTCCCGATGGACCGCAGGGGGGAGTCTGAAACAGTTTGTGTCCAGGGTGGGAGGGGTTGGCCACACAGGCCCGTCCACGCTACTCTGTTTTAGTTTAAAAACGAAGACGTTCTCCGTCCACAGCAGCGTTTTAGCTGCGCATCACAGCTGATCTCCGTCTGTACTAAAACGACTGAGAACGCACATCTAGTGGCCGTTCAGGTACACTGGGCATGTGTGTAAACATGAAGCAGATTGTTTATTCCGTAGTTACAGAAAATCTGGAGAAAGAATAAAAAATAACAACGAAGAACCTGATCTTATTTGCATGGACCAATAACGAGCCGTAACACGGGGAGGTAAAAGCGGCGGGAGACAGACTGGGAGTCGTCGCAAAGTAAATACGGCGACACTCAGTGTTTTAGTGTTATTTACACAGTACAGAGTATTTTGATAAAAAGACCAAGTCAAAATCTCACCAGCATCGTGTTTCTGCCCGTCTTCACTAAAACGCTACACAGAGTTTTAAAAACGAAACACGGGGTCGGCAGCGTTTCCAAACTTCCCTGTTTTAAGTCTCTTTTTCTGCGTGAATAACGCTGCAGTCTGAACTCGTCCCTGGCAGACAGGAGTTCTGGAGAATCTCCTAACTTGTAAATACTGCAGATCATTTGTTTTGTACGTGTTGACGTCTCGGAGACGAACCTCCTTGGTCACATGTCGTACACAAAAGTACTGTCCAGCTGCTGTCTGTGGACATGTTGCTTCTGTCTGTGTGGATACTAACCTGGCTAGTTGGAAACAACGGCAGGCTGAGCGGGTTAACTGGAACGCACCACAAGATGCCAAGAAAGAAATCCAGAGGGTCAGTAGGAGCAGGGGTGGGGACAAAGGAACGAGCCAACCAGTTAAACCAGTTTTTCCAACACAGGACTAACCCTCCTCCACCTCCTCAAGAGGCCGCACCTCGGCACATACCTCCCTGTGATAGCACAGGACCACCGAACAGAACAAACAGTCCCTCCCTGTCCCTGCTGCTACAATCAATACATCTCATCTTAACACCATGACGGGTGAGGCGGAGCGAACAGAGACAGAGGACAGGTGAAGGCGTTCTTACGTCACGTCTTCATAGAAGCCCTCCAGCTCGTCCCTCTGCTCGGCCAGAGACGAGTCCAGGTCCAGGTAGTTCCCATGAGGAGACAACTGAAGGGTGCACTCCTCCAGCTGAGGGGGACAGACAGAGACAGAGAGACAGGTTAAAATTCAACTTTGTGCGTTAGTGTCTTCTATAAGCCTGCAGCAGTGAACCGGTCATCGTCTGACTCAGTGAAATAAAACCACCGACAACAATGCAAGAACATAAAGATGACTAAATGAGTTATTCTTAGAGCTCCGCACTGCTGATTACTGCACCACCCTGTGACTCAAAACACTTCAACATGTAAAGAAATGACTGGATGTAAAGTAAAGGAACAAAACACACAAACAGGTTCTATGAGTTTAGATCAGAAGTGAACATTTAGGAGACTCATTACATACATTTTGTCGCACATGATCTTGAGTTGTGTTAGTCAAACACAGCCACTGTGCACCCGTGTGCGTCATTCATACTGGTGGGAACATCTACAGCAGCGGGAGTCGAGGTGCGAGCCACCTCACCTCACTCCGTCTCTGCGCTGTGGCCGCGGCTTCATCCTGCTGTCACGCCACTTCATTTATCTCACAGCAGACTGATACTCATTATCTATCAGAGACAACGCCCTGCCCGAGGCGATTTAAAAGCCGTCCATCACAGATTCCACAGCCCAAAACCCAAACAGAATCACGTCAGCGACGAAGAAAAGCAGCACATCGTCCTGCTGAGAAGATGCAACCAAACACCCGTGACTCAAAATGACGAACGGAATAAATATCACACTAATAATCAATCGACTGATGGTTGCTGCTCTGTTTATATGATGATCCTAATATTTTTATCCTTCATCACTTTGTTTACGTGGATCAGTTCTGATGAGGCTACGGCACTGAGGACGGTGGTTACAGCTGATGATCTGCAGAGGAATCAATAACTGGTAAAGTCTTGTGATTTTTTTAAATCACCTTTTCTTATACTGCTTTTCAGGACAGACGTCCTGCTGTTTGTCCTGCAGGTCGTCTGTCTGTCTTTCATTCACGTTCTGATGAACTGGAACACGCCCGCCTCGTGGACGTTCTTCAGTAACTCCACCTGATCTAATCTCTGCACTCTGGTCTTGAACCCTGCTCTGCAGCAGACACCACGGCAGTAAACACAGGCCGTGTTGTGAAAGTGGAGTTCAGGTCAGAACACTTTCTGTCTATTTATATCCGGGCAGGCCGGGCGTCTCGTAGCTGCGTACAGTGAGTCATGTTCAGGTATGAAGCTGGAATCAAGGGCAGAAAACTATTAAGTCTGATTCTGACCTGCTGAACACGCTGCAGACTCTGAACCTGCAGAGCCACATTCTTCTGCAGCAGCAACACGACACGAACACAGATCCTCATCTATTCTCTGTACGCTCAGACCGCGGGGCCTCACATCACATCAGTATTTAAAGTCATGCGAGACCTTTGAGTGGAGGGCATCTGGAGCTTTCTCTGGAAGATTTCAACAGAGAGCTCCAAAGTTGCTGTGTCTGCAGCCTAAATCCTGCCAAGCACTGAAGTCAGCAGTGAATCAGATATTCCTGATTTAACTTCAGTGATGCAAGAGGAAGATATTTCACCACACTGAACATACTTGTGACAAGCGAAAGTACAAATATGTACTGGTATCAAAATGAACGTCAAGTACCAAGAGTAAAATGACTCCTTATGCAGAATGGCCCATTTGAGAATCTATATACCGGAGGACTGAAACAGTCTCAGTTCGCACCCTTTCATCCCTAAAACTTGCTATCCTGAGAGCATCAGTTCATACTGACCGCATGGCAGAATGCAGAACTCTGCGAGGACCCAGCGGTCGCAACTGTAAGAGTTTGTTCAGTTTTATTAATTCATTTCTAATAAAACTGAACTGAGGTCAAGTGAGCAAACAGATGTTTTGGTGGTGAGAATGGCGGTCAATGATACGACTGGTTACAAGTCACGAAGAAGACAAAGGACAAGATTCACAACCGCCATGTTCAACTGGAGACAACACTACCCTGTGAAAATTCACACACACACACACACACACACACACACACTACACAACTAAGTACAAAGTACACGAACATGAAGTATATACAGAAATATATTTTCCAGCCTTCATGCTAAGCTACACTAAACTGGTCCTGGACCCACACAGGTGAAACTCTGAAGGCAGAACAAGAGGATTTACAAAACCAGTTTCTGGCAAGTTACCGTGTCGCCTGCTTATTTCAGTGGACAAGCTGCTAGAAGTCAATATTTTAGGTCTACACTTAGAAATCTGAGCTTTAGCTGATTTTACATTTTTATAACAGGTAACTGGATCTGAGCTGTCAGTCCAGACTCAGGCAAGTGAACTACCACATGTTCAAACTTTGTGAAAACAAAATGACTCAGAAGCCAAGTGCAAATATCCACTGAAGTCTTGATTCTTAATCTTTCAGTAGAGGCTAGCAGTTTCCCCCTGCTTCCAGTCTTTGTGCTAAGCTAGGCTAAACATCTCTCCGTCCTAGAGAAGCCAACAATGAGTGTGTAAAATTTAAAACATCATCAAGCCGTTTTCCTGCTGCGTTCACATGCGCGGAAGGAAAAGCCTGTTCAGTTCTTATCAACGCACTCTGTTAGTATTACATCCGTCCATCCAGCTTATCTCCTGTTTACAGGTCCCACCCTCTTCCTCCACAATCACTGGCCTGCAGGAGGAGGAGGAGGAGGAATCCTGTAATGTTTGGTTTCACGTTGGAGAACACAAATGTGCGTATCGGTCAGATCACCTCACTCCGTCTCGGCTTGCAGGTCAAGCCCAAGGGCATGATGGGAACAATTAGGGGGTCACAGTGGAGGAATGTAATCTAGTGGGACTGGCGTTCTCTGGTCTTTATCTGATCCTTATCGGATCCTGGAGATTCCACTGGGGCGCCGAACGCCTCGCAGCAGGCCGGAGTCTCCCGTGTAGCTCGACGCGATGGTCGTAAAGCTCTGAGCGGAGACACGGGTCATGAGTAAAAGGTCACGCAGGTTGCAGCAGGCTCGGGCTGAAGCTGCAGAATGAACTGAAGACAGCAGCCTCTGGGACGGCTGAGGAATGAGTGCTAGAAAGGAAAACTGGCTGATCTCTAACTGTGGTGAGACTTCATGCAGAGTAAGTCTGTGAAGCAACAAGCTGCACTCACTTCCTGTTTGGAAGACTGCACACAGAACGGGACAAAAAAAAACAAAAAAAACAGCCATCTTACAGGAAACTGGGCCACAGAGGTGATCCTCCTTTTTCCAGGCAGATTCATTAAACTCACATTTCTAACTTTGGACGCGGTGACGTCACTCTGATGAGGCAGAGCTGTGAGCCTGGCAGAGTTCAGGTCAAACCATGTGAGAAAGTAAGAACTTTAACTTCCCCCTCCAGCAGCTTCAGAGCAACACGAGGCTTCATGGTGAGGCGTGTTTGTGTCACCTGGTGAAGGTGTTCTCTCTCTGCGAGCTCTGCGTTTGGTCTCCACCGGCTCCTGAGGGAAACATCTTGCTGCTCCACCACGTTCACCAGCTGAGTCTGTTTGAGTGCAAACCAGAAGAGGAAAGCTGCAGCCGGACAGATAACCAGCGAGTTCGGAGAAGACGAGAAGCTGCAGCTTTTCTAGCAGAGCCTCCAACACGCTGTCACTTTGTTTTACTCTTCATAAGGCAGGCGTGCAGCTGACAGCACAGAGTCCACAGTCCCGCTGCTCAGTTGTGAAGCGTCCAGAGTCCCCACAGTCCAAAACTAAATGTGAAGCAGCAGCCTTCAGTTTCTCTGCACCTCCATGTGACAGATGATGCACATATCTGATGCTTTAATGTTAAACCCTGTTCATGTTGGAGTCCTGACATAAATCGACTAGAGACCAAGTGAAGAGCAGTGATCCCTGAGTGGACTTCCCCAGAAAAAGAAAGAAATAAGACATGCTGAAGAGATCTGATCATTTAAAAATGGTGTTTTTAATGAGTATCAGCAGCTACTTGCTCACAACTGATCAATCAACCAAAGTGGATCTGATAAAGTCGGCAACAAGTAGCACCTGGTGGTGGTGCTGGGGGTAATAACTGCTTGTATTAACTACATCTGTTGCAGAAATAAAAGCTGAATGCACCCCAAACCTTTTAAAAAGACTTTCTCCACATGGACAAATTAATTCGCCTGATTTTTAAACAGAGTTTGGCGTCTCACCCTGAGCTTCAGGTCAAACTATGATCCCATTTTAACATGATCTACATGTGAGTTAGTCCCGGTTCGTTTCACCCCGCGGACCGGAGCCTGTCCCGGCAGGTAGCCCAGGTAAGGTAGTGACCCACCTTGAGAGGCGCCTCCAGCAGCTTGTGTATCCCGGCGATCTGCTCACTGAGCGGCAGGTTCTCCTCCACGCTCACCGTCGGAGGTCTCCGAGGTTCGGGAAAGTTTGTGCAGATAAACGGATCCAAGTCCTCCAGGTACTGGACCCGGCAAACGATGGACGCCATGGCCGTTTGACCGCAACCCGACTGCGGCTGAAGGTGCGCGTGGGACTCGGTGCGGACTCACTGGAGCAGCTTTTCAAATGAAGCGAACCCGGTCCTCGCTGCGCGTCCACCGGTGAAGCTGCTGCGGACACACACACACCTACATCCGGTGTCACCTTCAAAATAAAGGCAGTTGGGGGGTTTTGCGGCAAGTTAATGACAGAATATAATAAAAACATTAACACTTTCAGTCTACTCAGGATGATGGTCTTTATAACATCTGTGCAGTAAACCGTAGGAATACATGTCCACTACCACGTGACCTCCAGTTAATGATGATGATGATGAAAACCACCAACCTTTTGACTGTTACTTCATTTGTATTCCTCCATTATTTGTAAATTAACTGGTTTATGTTTTATTTACTAATAATGTAAATGTATGTGATGCTTAATTTATATCTGCTGTAATTTTATACAGACTTGTATTATGTTTCTTTCGCTGCACACCACTAAGTGTACCTACAGGATTGCTGTAAAGCACTTTGTTTCCTGTATTGAATGCCATACAAACACAGCTATTATTATTATCAGTAGTACTAGCAGTATATGCACGAGCAATGGGGGATTTGTTTTTCAGATTTGGGGCCTGGACTGAAACCGTAAAATAAACTCAATCAGAACAGAGCACAGGACATCAGACAGCTGGGCATTCAGATGGTTCCCTGTTAGTTTAACCACAAACAGGGTCGATCCTGACACTGACGTTTTATGGTTTTCTACAATCTGAGAAGAGACTAAATTTTACTATTAAAAACGTACACGTGATGGCTATTTAATGTGCTGATTCCAGGCACAATATAATGAATAAAAAACTGTATCCTGGCAGTGTGCACACATGGTTTTAAACAACATGTAGACATTCATGTTGGGAAATAAAATGTATAGAAAAGATAACTGAATATTTAACCAGGACCTAGTTTTTGGGTTCAATTATCGATCAATAAAGACAAAAAACAGAAGTTCATAAAATTTACATTAAATGCTTTTACATTTCAAGAACGAGCTGATCTGACCTGCACCAGCTGCTGTGTTACTGGCATGATCACCTTTCAGTCTCTCCTGTTGTTCAGGGAGATCTGATACCGCTGCAAATTATTTTAATCCATTTTATTTATATAGCACATTTTATGAAAAACAAAGGTTTACAAAATGCTGGACAAGAAATAACACATATAAAACACATAAAACAACATAAGACCACACAGTTCTCATGCTGGGTTAAAAGCCAGGGAACACAAGTGAGCTTTAAAACGGGAATTAAAACATTCGAGGGAAGCTGTGGAGGGAGCTGCTGGAAAAGCGCGGTCGCCACCCGGGTTTTTAACCTGTTTTTTGGAGCGACGAGCCGAAGTTGATCAGTAGACCTAAGTCACCGTTAGGGGGTGTATACTTGTAAGAGGTGTGAGATGTAGCGAGGTGCCAACCCATTCAGTGATTTAAAAACAAACAATAGGATCTTAAAGTGTATTCTAAAATGGAGCGGGAGCCAGTGTAGCGAGGCCAGGACTGGTGAGATGTGTTCATGCTTGCGAGTTCCAGCTAAAAGACGAGCGGCTGAGTTTTGTACAAACTGTAAGCATGAGAGATAGGTTTGGTTAACGCCGATGTAAAGTGCATTACAGTAGTCCAGACGGGTTGAGATAAAAGCATGAATCACATGTTCAAAGCACTAACGAGATAAAACAGGTTTGATTTTAGATTTAGGATTTAACAATATTATTTATCTGTTTATCAAGTTTAAAACCATTGTCTATTTTGACACCCAGATTTGTCAGGATGGGTTTCGCATCTTGCCCAGGTCAACAGGAAGGATATCACCGGCCGACTGGGTCCAAACACAATGACCTCAGTTTTATCTTCATTAAGATTTAAAAAGTTGGAAGCCATCCAGGCCTTAATATCTTTCAAACACTCTAGGAGAGGTGTGAGGGAGTTGTTTTCACCTCTTTTGAGGGGCAGATATATTTGAGAGTCGTCCGCATAGAAGTGGTACAAGATGCCATGTTTTCTAATTATGTTTCCTTGGGGGAGGAGATACAGGGAAAAGAGAGGTGGTCCAAGTATTGAGCCCTGTGGAACACCACAAAGAAGGGGGACAGTAGATGAACCAAAGTCCCCAAGCTTTACTGAAAAGCATCTCCCAGATAAATAGGATTTAAACCACTGATACCAACACATTGCTCTAGACGAGAGATAAGAACCACATGGTCAACTGTATCAAATACAGCAGTGAGGTCTAAAAGCACTAGTATGGCAGAATTACCAGAGTCTGTGGTTAATTAGAGATCATTAAATAATCATAAAAATATCAAGCCTGAGTTTACCTGCATGTAATGAATGCAGCCAATCATAAAGCCAATCAAGTCCTGAAAGGTGCAACACAGAAAATCACACAGTCAGTCTGTAAACATTCACCAATATACTGTAGATATGGTGCATTTATTAAAAGGTGAACATACAGCTTTATTTTACTTCCCATGCTCCCTGTTGTAGATCATGTAGATAGTGTTTACTTATTTATACTTAACACTCGCTTTTATACTTTATATCTCCCTGTGTGGGATCAGTAAAGTTTAAAATAAATGACATGTTGTGGCTTTTAAAATACACAGTGAACAATGAATATCTATCCAGACAAAATACCACGAGGGAACCATTAATAAACATTCTGACTAAAATGTTATACCTTTATTTTGAAGGAATCTCTGGTTTGGTGAACTTGCTGGTGGACGGCCCACTAGTGATGTCATTCAAGTACAGCATGGTAATCCATTGAGCAACAGCAGTATGACATCATGACTAGAGTGCTTTGTGTCATCCAATAACAACACATCGTCCAGTGTTGTGGTGGAGCAGCGTCCTCTGGTGGCCGAAGCTCTGCAGTGCAAAGATCCACCGAGAAGGAGGTAAGGAAGGAAAGGAGGGGGTAAGGAAGGAAAAGAGGAGGTAAGGAAGGAAAGGAGAGGGTAAGGAAGGAAAGGAGGGGTAAGGAAGGAAAGAAGGAGGTAAGGAAGGAAAAGAGGAGGTAAGGAAGGAAAGGAGAGGGTAAGGAAGGAAAGGAGGGGTAAGGAATGAAAGAAGGAGGTAAGGAAGGAAAAGAGAGGGTAAAGAAGGAAAAGTGGAGGTAAGGAAGGAAAGGAGAGGGTAAGGAAGGAAAGGAGGGGATAAGGAAGGAAAGAAGGAGGTAAGGAAGGAAAAGAGAGGGTAAAGAAGGAAAAGAGGAAGGAAGGAAGGAAAGGAGAGGGTAAGGAAGGAAAGGAGGGGTAAGGAATGAAAGAAGGAGGTAAGGAAGGAAAGGAGGGGGTAAGGAAGGAAAGGAGGGGGTAAGGAAGGAAAGAAGGAGGTAAGGAAGGAAAGGAGAGGGTAAGGAAGGAAAGGAGGGGGTAAGGAAGGAAAGAAGGAGGTAAGGAAGGAAAAGAGAGGGTAAAGAAGGAAAAGAGGAAGTAAGGAAGGAAAGGAGAGGGTAAGGAAGGAAAGGAGGGGAAAGGAATGAAAGAAGGAGGTAAGGCAAGAAAGGAGGGGGTAAGAAAGGAAAGGAGGGGGTAAGAAAGGAAAGGAGGGGGTAAGGAAGGAAAGGAGGGGGTAAAGAAGGAAAGAAGGAGGTAAGGAAGGAAAGAAGAGGTAAGGAAGGAAAGGAGGGGGTAAGGAAGGAAAGAAGGAGGTAAGGAAGGAAAAGAGGAGGTAAGAAAGGAAAGGAGGGGGTAAGAAAGGAAAGGAGGGGGTAAGAAAGGAAAGGAGAGGGTAAGAAAGGAAAGAAGGAGGTAAGGAAGGAAAGGAGGGGGTGAGGAAGGAAAGGAGGGGGTAAGGAAGGAAAGGAGGAGGTAAGGAAGAAAGGAGGGGGTAAGAAAGGAAAGGAGGGGGTAAGAAAGGAAAGGAGGGGGTAAGGAAGGAAAGAAGGAGGTAAGGAAGGAAAGGAGGGGGTCAGAAAGGAAAGGAGGGGGTAAGGAAGGAAAGGAGGGGGTAAAGAAGGAAAGAAGGAGGTAAGGAAGGAAAGAAGAGGGTCGAAAGGAAAGGAGGGGGTAAGAAAGGAAAGGAGGGGGTAAAGAAGGAAAGAAGGAGGTAAGGAAGGAAAGGAGGGGGTCAGAAAGGAAAGGAGGGGGTAAGGAAGGAAAGGAGGGGGTAAAGAAGGAAAGAAGGAGGTAAGGAAGGAAAGAAGAGGGTCAGAAAGGAAAGGAGGGGGTAAGGAAGGAAAGGAGGGGGTAAAGAAGGAAAGAAGGAGGTAAGGAAGGAAAGAAGAGGTAAGGAAGGAAAGGAGGGGGTAAGGAAGGAAAAGAGGAGGTAAGAAAGGAAAGGAGAGGGTAAGGAAGGA